GAATATCGAGAAAACACTTCATACAGTGATTATTGGACCTTTAAAGAGTATTCTTAGGAAGTTTCAGCTGAATCCAAGTTTGAGCGATTTTCGTCGTAGTAGCACTTTAACTATAGAGCGTCTTCACGTGACGCCGTCACAGCGGCCATGTTGGTGTACAAAACAATACATTTTAGATCCTCCGGGAATTGAAATATATTTTATGCAAATATTGTGCAGAAGAGATAACTAGCTAAAAACTAGTGTGAGCTGCGTCGGTGTTTCTAATGAAACAGTAATGATAAAGGGGTAATTTTTACACCGTGAAAAGATGAAAAAACTTACTAAACTTACTTTTACTCCGACGAAGGACTAGCGTCCGAAACGTCAGTTTTTTCATCTTTTCATCGGTGTTAAATTTACCCTTTTATCATTACAAATACTGTGCAGAGAGTTACTTTTGTTTGTACACCAATATGGCTGCCTTGTCACGTGAGTGAAAACGCTCTATATATGTGTTCCAGGTTTCTGAGACTAAAACAACTCACAAAAGAAGCAATCCAAAACATACCGACCACCATAAATAAACTGTAAGTAAGGATGTTTTCTCCGCTATATGTCACACATGAGTACAAGCTTTACGACTTGAAGGAAACGCTTTCATAAGCACATATGTGAAAGAGTTTACTGGGAACGAATTGCAACAGTTAAGCGCAACCTCGCCAAAATGGATAAAGGGTTTATCAAAGGAAAACTATTTTGAACTTCAAATTTTATCCAACTTCAATTTACCACTATGAGGTGGACGGCAAGCCTTACAAGCCTAGGACCCAAAGGCAACCGAAAGATTGAATTAGAATTTAGAAGTTGATTTTTTTAGAGGGAGGAAAACTGGAGAACCCGGAGAAAAATCCTCGAAGCACATGAGAGAACCAACAAACAACTCTACTTATATGCAACACCGAGCCCGACTAATAGTAATCTTAACATTATGAAAAGCTTGTAACCGGATTTCCATTTTATAGAAATATTCATGATAGTAACTTGAAAACTCTTCCTCTTGACGTCTTTGATCATTTGGAGAAGCTGCAAACGTTGTAAGTATTAGTGAAGACTACGTCACGAGCATTTAAAAACCTTCAGCTTTTTTTTCTTTTTCGATACACAACCTCTTGGCTGAGAGCCAGCCCGTACCGCTCGGAACGAGTTACATGATTGGATTAAAAAACAATAGATTGGTTATCCAAACAATAGCACTAAACCTAACCTTACGAAAGCGGTACTGTACTTAGGGAGCAATAAAAATCAAGCTTTCGAGCGGTACTGGATTATACTCTTGGCTGATCAAGGTCAGGGCACCGTTGATGCTAACTCACTCATCGAATTGGACTGGAATTTAGCGTGTAAGGTTTTTTGAGAAGGGATGAAACCAGGGAACCCGGAGAAAACCCCCAAGGGAGAGACCTGACACAATTTACTCGTGACAAATGTGTTGCCGAGTCCAGGAATTAAACTCGAGACCCCAGAGATGATAGGCGAAAGTGTACTACCGCTTGATGCCAACTTTGTTTCCCGAACAACATCACCAGACTGCTTTGATTTTTACCATTTATTTCATTCTTTTATCAACAGAAGTTTACGTGGTAATCAACTCACAACACTCTCTGAGAAGACTTTTAAAAAACTTCGACACTTGAAAAAACTGTAAGTTGTGCGAAGTATAGTTCCAGTTTGATCACGGAAAGAGGGCCACAGTATTAAGTGCAGTGCTACCCTCGTAAAAACAAGAAGGGTTTCTTTTTAGTGACTGCATTTAACCCGTGTAACGAATTCTAATAGACAACGATTAATTTTAGATAGCTTATTGACACTCTGGCCTTAATAGACCTCCTCGGCTTGGACGAAATGTTGTCCCATTTCAGACCACGTGTCATTCCCTAGAGTATCCTTTCTTTGTTTAACGGTTGCGCTAAGTTGCACATGAGAAGACACATGGATACAACAAAGAATCTCATTCTCATTGGAATGACACGTGGTCGGAAATGGGACAACTTTACGTTCAAGAAGAGGAGGCCTATAGATGATGTCCGCTGAATAGAGGTCCGTTTTACAGTGAAATATATGGGAGGAAAATGTCGGGACCCGTGCACCTAACCCTTTGATAAAGAAAGGGTGTTCGCTTAATAAGCAGTCTGTTAAATTGAGGTACCACTGTAGTTTATTTCTATTCTTCTTTGGTTCTGTTCAAGTGACCTGAGTAATAACGATCTTCATTGTGACTGTGGTCTTCGATGGATCACAGAATCCAACATCGATGTTGTCGGCAAGTGTGCTACACCTTCTTTTCTTGCCAACAAAGAACTTAAGAAGGTTTCGTCCGCTGTACTTTGTGGTTAGTTATGTCCGTTTTTATATTCTTTCTCGAAAGGACGGCCGCCATTTCGAACTGAATGAACCAAAAACAAAAACAACAAAAAACAAACAAACAAACAAACAAACAAACAAAACAAAACAAAACAAAACAAAACAAAACAAAACAAAACAAAAAAGACAAAAAAAAAAAAAGACAACTATCGTTGTAAATTTATCAAACATGGCGGTTATGACATATTATTCATGCGCATTCAGTTGTACAGTACCTCGGCTCAACTTTGTGGTACGTTGAGGCCTATTTTTATTTTTATTCCGAAACGAACGGCCACCATTTTGAATTGATCCAACATAAAGCTATGAAGTCACGTTTACAATAATAAATGCCCATACAGTATATAATACAGCTTTATTTGAGGGAAAACTGGGTCGAGTTGCAATTGCAGTGCATTGTGGGGCAGTTTTAGCTATCTTGGAAATATGCCTCCTAAAACAGCCCCAAAAGGCACTGCAATGCCAAGTCAACCGAGGAATGGCTAAGAAGTGCTTTAGTACTAATGAGTAGAATGATTGTCGATTCGATTCAACAAGTCATTTCTGTTCTCTTCCAGATGTCGATGAATGTCGAGATGCTGCTAACCCTGTTTGTGGTAGGCACTCATCGTGTGAGAACACGCCTGGTTCTTTCAAGTGTGTTTGTGATCGTGGTTTCCTTAGCGAAAACGAAAAGACCTGCTCAGGTTAGATTAATAATGGTTTCTTTAGCTTGGGCGTAAGTTTTGTCATTTCAGATCACCTGCCATTCCCTTGAGTATCATTTCTTTGCTTAACGGTTGCGCATGAGAAGACACATGAATAAGGATACAACTCAAACAAAGAATCTTATTCTCAAGGGAATGACACTTGGTCTGAAATGGGCAAAACATATGCCAACGGTGTCCGCCATTTGTGATAATAATCCGCTGACCAAAAACGCCGTCATGCGGTCAGAGAGCTCCAACGCTCTTGCTTTTCCTTTCCCATTGTAAAGCCAGAAAATTCAGATTTCTTTGCAAAGGAAAGGACGTGAAAAGACCTGGGAACAAGTTAAGTTGAGTGAGATTTCAAATATGAAACGAAAAGCAAATTCATTGGTCAGCAGTAGTTTATCGACAAAAACCAAAATGGCTGGCAAAAGGGTATAACGTCAATCATACACAATCAAAAATTCAATATATTGCTTCCGTTTCCGGTTAATTAACATTATTGGCGCGAACGCGTAAAGGATTCCTCGAAATCTCATCCAAAGTGTACGTCTTCCAATGGCGATTATCACGACCACGAAATAAGTATTGAGATTAAGAGAAACCTGCTGTTCAGTAATTATGCCAAATATTATTAGACATTTATCGGATAAGAAGATTGAATTAAGATTGAGCCAATATGTTAAAGTGCTACTATGACGAAAATCGCTCAAACTTGGATTCAGCTGAAACTTCC